GGATGGGTGATGAGGATGAGGAATGGGACTGGGACAAAGATGGGGATACGGGAATGGGATGGGCATTCCGATTCAGATTTGCATGGGGATCTGGATGGGAAATTGCCATGAGCATTAGGATTCAGATGAGGATAGGGACTGACCACATGGATGAGGAAGGGAACAGCGGACAAGGATGGGGATGGGTATTTGGACGAGGCAGGGCACTGCAGTGGGGATGGGGGCAAGAAAGCGCAGTTACCGCTGGAGTCAGTGAGCCCCCAGCCAGTGGTGACGCAGGTCATTCCCCCCGGGAATTCGTCAGTGGCCTTGGGCAGGCAGACGGGGGACACGCGATCCGACAGCTGCGCCGGAGTGGCCAGTTTGATCAGGGTGATGTCGTCGTGGATGGTCAGCATGTTGAACTTGGGGTTCTTGAACACCTGAAGCACGCAGCACTGCTCTCAGCACCTGCACCCCCTGCCAGGGTGCCGGGCACCGGACACTCCACAGGGATCACTAGGGACCTTGGGGACCAATGGGGACCCCGGGGGCTGCTCCTGTGGGTGCCGTGATGGCAGGGTGTCTGAGCTGCAGGGCCCAGGCCCTGGGACACTGGGGAGCAGGGACACCCCAGGTCACGTCCCCTGCCGGCATGAAATGGACCCTGAGGCCTGAACCCTGAAATGAACCCCTGGGGCCTGAAGGATGAGTGGGAGCAGGGACACACCTCAGGGGATTGCAGTGCAGGGATGTGGGACACCATGGACACCCCAGGGAACCCTGACCCTCCGGATCAGGGGAACCGGGGGGGCTCCTCAGGAGCACAAACCCCAGGACAAGGGGGACCCGCACATAAGCTCCCAGGCCGCCTGTGCTGGCCGTGGGATCCCGCAGGCACACGGGCCCCGCGCCGGAGCTACCTTCTCGATTTTCAGTTCCTGCTGATCAGGGCCGGGTGCGTCCTGGTCGTAGGCGCCCACCACCACGGTGTCGGTTTTCCTGGGCACAGGCAGGCACTGAGCACGGGACGCCGGCACGGGGACAGCGCATTCCCAGAGCACCCCGTGCCCGTGCCCAGCCCCGGCCCGGCCGGCAGCAGAGCCGGTGCCTACCTGACGCCGCAGTGGGCAGCGGTGACCACCCAGTTCTCGCTGATCAGGGACCCGCCGCAGAAGTGGAAGCCGTTGTTGCGCTGGCGGGGAGAGCCGCCCTCAGCACCCGGCACGGCCGCCGGCACCGCCGCCGGCGAGCTCCGTGCCCGGCCCCCACACGGCGCCCACCCCTGCCCCCGGCCCGCCTCGGGCTCTCACCTGCAGGGACACCTGCCATGGCCAGGAGCCTGCCACCGCCGCCTCCCCGTTGACAATGCGGTTGTAGCCGCGGATGACGGGCGTGATGGCGGGCACGCCGCAGCCTGCGGGGCACAGACGGCCGTGGGACGGCGGCTCCAGCCACCCCGGCCCCCTTTCCCCTCCCCACCATTCCCACCCGCCCAAGCCCCGAGCCCACCCCGCCAAGCCCCACGACCCCACGCACTCTCAGGGAGGGCCGCACGGGCAAAGCCCGCCAGGGCCAGGCAGCTCAACACCCACAGCAGAGCCATTGCCACTTGTGAGGACAGACCTGCCCTGCACCTGGTGGCTCTTATCTGCACCCTTGGGCACCTCCCTGCTGCCCCTGGCCTTGCCACCGCGACCTTGGGAGATAACGTGGCAGCTGGTATTGTGCCACCGGCATATTGCCAGTACTTGAACTCTCTCACCCCACTCTTTGGTGTCGCAGGCACCTGGACCTCTGGATGAACCCTTATCTGCGTGGCAGCCTGGAAGGGCTCTGCAGACCCAGACCTAAGTGAACTCCATGGTCCTTCCAAATTCCACCACTCCATGGCAAAATGTGCAGGCAGCCCAGAAAACCCCACTGTATCTTTGGCTACAGCTGCAGCAGACTGAGCAGCACGTCAAGGCAGGGCATTCTGCTCCTCTACTCCACAATTCTGAGACTATGCATGCAGTGCTGTGTCCAACTATGGTACCCCAATTATGAAGGACATGGGCGAGCTGGAATGATTCCAAGAACATTTAGGTGCCAGCATTTAGTCCAGGCCAGTGCTGTCCCACAGCCATAGCCAAGGCTACTGGCTCCAGGTGTCATGCTCCCAGGCTATTTCCTGGAGAAGTTCCAGCTGCCACGTTATCTCCCAAGGTCTCGGTGGCAAGGCCAGGGGCAGCAGGGAGGTGCCCAAGGGTGCAGATAAGAGCCACCAGGTGCAGGGCAGGTCTGTCCTCACAAGTGGCAATGGCTCTGCTGTGGGTGTTGAGCTGCCTGGCCCTGGCGGGCTTTGCCCGTGCGGCCCTCCCTGAGAGTGCGTGGGGTCGTGGGGCTTGGCGGGGTGGGCTCGGGGCTTGGGCGGGTGGGAATGGTGGGGAGGGGAAAGGGGGCCGGGGTGGCTGGAGCCGCCGTCCCACGGCCGTCTGTGCCCCGCAGGCTGCGGCGTGCCCGCCATCACGCCCGTCATCCGCGGCTACAACCGCATTGTCAACGGGGAGGCGGCGGTGGCAGGCTCCTGGCCATGGCAGGTGTCCCTGCAGGTGAGAGCCCGAGGCGGGCCGGGGGCAGGGGTGGGCGCCGTGTGGGGGCCGGGCACGGAGCTCGCCGGCGGCGGTGCCGGCGGCCGTGCCGGGTGCTGAGGGCGGCTCTCCCCGCCAGCGCAACAACGGCTTCCACTTCTGCGGCGGGTCCCTGATCAGCGAGAACTGGGTGGTCACCGCTGCCCACTGCGGCGTCAGGTAGGCACCGGCTCTGCTGCCGGCCGGGCCGGGGCTGGGCACGGGCACGGGGTGCTCTGGGAATGCGCTGTCCCCGTGCCGGCGTCCCGTGCTCAGTGCCTGCCTGTGCCCAGGAAAACCGACACCGTGGTGGTGGGCGCCTACGACCAGGACGCACCCGGCCCTGATCAGCAGGAACTGAAAATCGAGAAGGTAGCTCCGGCGCGGGGCCCGTGTGCCTGCGGGATCCCACGGCCAGCACAGGCGGCCTGGGAGCTTATGTGCGGGTCCCCCTTGTCCTGGGGTTTGTGCTCCTGAGGAGCCCCCCCGGTTCCCCTGATCCGGAGGGTCAGGGTTCCCTGGGGTGTCCATGGTGTCCCACATCCCTGCACTGCAATCCCCTGAGGTGTGTCCCTGCTCCCACTCATCCTTCAGGCCCCAGGGGTTCATTTCAGGGTTCAGGCCTCAGGGTCCATTTCATGCCGGCAGGGGACGTGACCTGGGGTGTCCCTGCTCCCCAGTGTCCCAGGGCCTGGGCCCTGCAGCTCAGACACCCTGCCATCACGGCACCCACAGGAGCAGCCCCCGGGGTCCCCATTGGTCCCCAAGGTCCCTAGTGATCCCTGTGGAGTGTCCGGTGCCCGGCACCCTGGCAGGGGGTGCAGGTGCTGAGAGCAGTGCTGCGTGCTTCAGGTGTTCAAGAACCCCAAGTTCAACATGCTGACCATCCACGACGACATCACCCTGATCAAACTGGCCACTCCGGCGCAGCTGTCGGATCGCGTGTCCCCCGTCTGCCTGCCCAAGGCCACTGACGAATTCCCGGGGGGAATGACCTGCGTCACCACTGGCTGGGGGCTCACTGACTCCAGCGGTAACTGCGCTTTCTTGCCCCCATCCCCACTGCAGTGCCCTGCCTCGTCCAAATACCCATCCCCATCCTTGTCCGCTGTTCCCTTCCTCATCCATGTGGTCAGTCCCTATCCTCATCTGAATCCTAATGCTCATGGCAATTTCCCATCCAGATCCCCATGCAAATCTGAATCGGAATGCCCATCCCATTCCCGTATCCCCATCTTTGTCCCAGTCCCATTCCTCATCCTCATCACCCATCCCCAAGCCTGACCCAATCCTGTCCCCACGTCCACAACCATCACGGTCCCGTCCTCCCTGTCCCAGCCCCTTCCCCATTCCCTCTCCGCTGCCGGTGCCGGCGCTGACGCTCCCGTGTCCCGCAGCCTCGCACACGCCGGCGGTGCTGCAGCAGGTGGCTCTGCCCTTGCTCACCAACACCCAGTGCAAGCAGTTCTGGGGCTTCCGCATCCGTGATGTGATGGTCTGTGCCGGCGCCGACGGAGCCTCTTCCTGCATGGTAGGTGTCCCTGGCCCCCGCTGCCCCCGGCGGCCCCGGGCCCCGGGCCGGCGCTCACCCGCTGCCCCGTGCAGGGCGACTCCGGGGGCCCGCTGGTGTGCCAGAAGGACGGCGCCTGGAACCTGGTGGGCATCGTCTCCTGGGGCAGCAGCACCTGCGACACCGAGATGCCCACTGTGTACGCCCGTGTCACCAAGCTTATCAGCTGGATCGACTCCATCCTGGAGGCCAACGGAGGCCTGTAATAAACTCTGCAATAACCCCTGAGCACACTATGTCTGTGTCATCATGCCGGGACGCTCGGGAGCAGGGCACGGGGCAGGCGGGTGGCCGGGGGTCTGAGGATGGGTGCGCATGGTGGGCTGGGGTCAGTTCTCTGGGCATGAGGATACCTGTTCAGGAGTGCAGAGTAGCATGGGGACACCTGGCTGGGAATGGGGACAGATGGATAGGGGGGCATGGGGACGCCTGACTGGGAATAGGGACAGATGGACAGGGGGACTTGGGCACACCTGCTTGGGAATGGGGACAGATGGATAGGGAGACATGGGGACTCCTGTGCCTGAACGGGGAAAGCTGGCTGTGCATGGGAACAGAGGGACAGAGGGCATGGGGACCCCTGACTGGGAATGGGGACAGATGGGCAGGGGGACATGGGGACTCGTGTCTGGGAAGGGAGGAGCGTGGGGACATGTGGTCTCCTGTGGGGTGATGGGCCCCTGACCAGCTGTGGGGATACTTGAGCAGGCATGGGGACACCTGTGATGGTCGGGGCCATGGTGAATGCAGTGACTCGGCCCAGGCAGGGGACAGCATGGGAACATGAGCCCAGGCACTGGTGGCGTGTGACTGGAGCCACCTTAAGGTGTCAGCGTGGGGGAGGGACAGACAGGCTGCGGGGAGGGCAGTGTCCCTGTCCTGTGCAGTTCCCATGTTCCAGTTCTTGTCCCGTTGCAACATGGCCCTTCGGAGGGTGCTGGCGCTGGCGGCAGCCCCGGGGCGCCGCAGCAGCAGCTCCAAGGTGGGGCCAGGGCTCCAAAGCCACTCGGCTCCTGACGTGGCCACTTGGCCTCGTGCCCGCGATCGGACCCTCCCCAGGGATCCCTGACGGGTCCTCGTTGTTCCCCCCGCAGCCCTCGCTGGCCCCTGACTTCGTGGAGGCCCTGAGGGCCGTGGTCGGGGCCCCCAATGTCTCCACGGCCACAGCGGTGCGGGAGCAGCACGGCCACGATGAGTCCATGCACCCGTGAGTGCCCCGGCAGCTGGGAGCCCCGGGGAGGGGAAGGACCGTGGCAAGGGGAAGGCTCGTAGGGAAGGAAAGAGATCCGGGCAAGGCAGGAGCCATTGGAAAGGGAAGGGTCATGGGGCAGGGGGCTGGGTCCGGGAATGGGAACTGTTTGGGAAGACAAGGGGCCGTGGGGAAGGCAAGGGCCACGTGACAAGTGGCAGGCTGGGGAAGGGCCATGGGGAGGCTCAAGTGGTTCAGTCAGTTGGTCAGTGGTGCTGCCTGTGCCCCAGCTGTGCCCCCCCGGACGTCGTGGTGTGGCCCCAGGCCGTGGGGCAGGTGCAGGAGCTGGCAGCCCTCTGTCACCGCCACCGTGTGCCCATGGTGCCCTTCGGCACCGGTACCGGCCTGGAAGGAGGCGTCAATGCCGTGCAGGTACGGGCTGCCCCGACACCTCTGACCCCCAGGGGCTCTCGGTGCCCGGCCGTGCCCAGACCCCCGGGTGCCCCTGTGCCAGGGCGGTGTCTGCTTTGACCTGAGCCGCATGGACGCCATCGCAGAGCTGAGCCTCGAGGACTTCTCGGTGACGGTGGAGCCCGGTGTCACCCGCAAGGCCCTCAATAAGCACCTGCGTGGCACGGGGCTCTGGTTCCCTGTCGGTACTGTGGGCACGAGGGGGTCATGGAGCTGGGGGTGACAGCTCTGGAGGGGCTGGTGATGGCTCCACACCTGAGGAGCCTCTATGAGTGAGGGTGCCATGGTTCTTATGGTTCTGGATGGGTTGAATTGCCAGGACCAGGAATGCTTGCGGTCATGGGTGACCATCCTCTCTGCCACACCAAACCCCTAGGTCCCACAGTGACCATGGCCCCTGTCAAGGTGCTGTGAGGGACACTCATCTCATACTGGTTTTGGGGCCATGTGGGCCCCAGTGCCCTGCTTTTCCACCCCTCATTTTCCCCCAACATGCTCTTAAGACCAGTCCCTTGTGTCATATTAACCCTCTGTGCACCAGCAGTGTCCAAAGGCTAGGAGATATTTTCAGAGGACAGGATCTCTCCAGCACTGCCACAGGGTCTCTCCCTCACCCCAGCAGGCAAACGCAGATACCCAGGAGATAAGGGATGTTTCTAGGCAAATCTTTATACTGCTGAGGGACTTGGGGCCATGTTTTGGAGGGGGCTGCCACGTGGTAGCTCCGGGAACCAGCGGAAGCTTCCCCTGTGTTCAAAAGGCACCAATTTTGGTTCGCATTTCGGTTACAGCTGGTACTGTAGCACAACCCGAGACATGAGAACGCACAAGTTAGCCCCTTCCTGCCCCAGCAGCTCCCCACCACCCCTAACACCCCTGGGGACCCCTATCCCCAGCCTCCAGCACACAAGGGGACAGTACAACCCATCTCTGTCACACTGTCCCACCATCACAGGGCATGGCTTCCACACCATTAGGACCTCCTGGCCACCGTGGAGTTTCTCCAGAGTGCACCATAGAGTCCTCCCGAGAGCAGAGCAGCCACAGCATCACAAAGGGCATCTTAAATTGCATCTCAAGTCATCAGGCACATCCTTGACTCATCAGGGACATGGCCCCATGCCCTTCAGCCCAGAACTGGCTGCCGGTTTTGTATGGAGAGAGGACAGTGGGGAAGGAGTGGACATAGATCCATCTCCCAGCTTTGCTTCACTACGGACACAGCTCAAACCATTCCTGGCCCCTGGCCACAGGGAGGAGGAAGGGATATGATGGCTGCAGCCCCTCACCTCTATTCCCACAGAGCCCCAGCCCCCCGGTGTGCGTGGGAGTCTCTATGTACATGTCTGCTTACACCGGGCAGAGAGGACTTGCAACTTGCATGGAGGGAAATGCATGTCTTGGGAAGGGTGGGGGCCAGATAGAGGGGACAGTGGCCCTGAGGCAATCACATGGCTGCCAGCTGGCCCAGCACCATCCTGAACTGCTGCGTGCTGTTGGCGAGGTCCTTGACACGCTCCACCATGTCCTTGGAGGCAGAAGGAGACGGGTAGTGGAGGGCAGCTGCCTTGGTGGTCATCACGATCTCCTTGAGCATCTCACAGAGGAGGTTGCTGTAGTGCATCACCTTGTGCTGGACGTCCTGGGCCTTGGCCTGGCGGGACAGCGTGTCCCCAATAAAGACGAGCTTGTGGGCACTGAGGATGACAAACTTGCTGTGGGCCACGAAGATCTTGGGAGGTTGGTTGGTGCTGACAGCAGTGAAGAAGGCATCGACAGCATTGGTGAGCGTGGTGAGGTTGGCCTCGCACTGCTCCAGGTAGAAGAGGAGGAGCTGGCGGTCAGCAGGACACAGAGTCCCACCGGCCCGCGCGGGGCTGTAGTGCTGGGGGGGGCTCCAGTTGGACACGTCGTTGTCGATGGGGCGCGTCACCTCCTGCTCCAGCCGCTCAAACTGCTTCAGCTGTGGGAGAGACAGGCATGGGGCAGGGTGGCCACTGAGCCAGCACCTGCTCCCCTCCATGGAACCACCAGCACAGGTGGCCATGGCCACCAGCCCCAGGGAACACAGTGAGAGACAGTGCCAGCCCCAGGACAGCCATGCTAGGCTCCTCTCCAGGATCAAAGTGCCTACTCCCCTCTTTACTAGCATAGCACTGGTATGGAAGGCAAGGTAGAATGCACCATGAGAATATCCAGGGAAGAGGGCTGTGGTCAGACCAGCAGCAGAGGCTACAATTGAAGCAAGACATGGGGCCCTGTGTATAGCAGCATCCACCTGCCTGCCCCAGTGTCCTCCTTACCTGCTGGTGCTCCAGCTGGTCCTTGCTCTGCCGGATGATGTTGCCTTTCTCCAGCAGCTCCTTCTGGGTCTTCTCAAATTCTTCCTTGCCCTGCAGGGGCAGACATGGAAGGGGTCAGCAACATCAGCCTTGACAGAGAGCCCCTACCTGCCCTGGGACATCCCTGGTCCACAAAGCCCTCACGTTGGAGGGTAAGAGCAAAGCATAGGCAGAAGCAGAGCTGCCTAATCCCCCCCTGTGTCAGAGAGCCACCATCATAAACACTCCCTGTGGGAAGCAGCCCCCATACCCGTGCCCACCTGGAGATGGACATAGTCATAATCCTCCATCCAGCCACTCTCGCTGTTCTCGTAGGGTCCATCAGGTGACTCCTGGGCCAGCAACTTGGGAGGGGAGGGCAGGGGCCGTGACTGGATGCTGCTGGCCTTGTCGGAGGGGTGAGGGGGCCCATGGCCACCACTCTCCACCGCCGGCTTTGTCCGTTTGAAGAGAAGGGAGGCATTGCCATGTAGGAAGGAAGCCAATTGCTTAGTGTCATCAGGAACACCACGTGAGTGCATGATGAAGTGCTCCAAGTCATCTGTGCCCGGCTTGCTGCTGGCCAGAGCACTGGGGGCCCAGTGGCAAGCGTCCAGCGCTTGGCCGTGCCGTGCCAGGGCCTGGTAGACCTCCTCCATCTTCTGCAGCTGCTTGCTGAGCTTGGTGTAGAGAGAGCGGTCAGAGGCCTGGGCAGCATTGCCCACTGCGCCCCGGGCAAACTCCAGCAGGTCCCGGAGGGCCGTCCGGACGCCCTCGGCTGCCCCACGGATGTTGGCAGCATTGGCCTCCATGTGCTCGGGGCTGCGCCAGTTGGTGCTGATAAAGGACATGAGGTAGGAGACAGCGCTGCTGACGCCACTCTGGAGCTTGGCCAGTGTCTCCATGGCGGCATCCAAGTCCAGGGAGAACTCCTTGCCGGCTCCCTTAGCCGGCTCCTTCACAGGCACCACGTCCAGCGAGGATGTGGAGATGTTGCTGCGGGTGCTGCCTGTGCTGGAAGCCGAGAGGCGCTTGGCATCGGCACCCTTGGCCTCGCGGTCTACTTGTGGTGGGACATCATAGATATACTCGCCCTCTGTGTCCACAGAGCCCTTGCCTGGGGCGTGCAGGTCCCGGGGCACATCGTACACCTCCTGGGAGGGGAAGGTGGATCCCCCCAGCTTCTTGAGGCTGGGGGGCACGTCGTAGATCTCGTGGGAGAGTGGAAGCTCAGGAGCACCTTTCCCAGCTGCCGGAGGCACGTCGTAGACATCCTCTGGCAAGTAGGGCTCCTGCTGGGCCAGGATCAGGGGGTGGCGGGAGGGGTCGAAGGCTTTCTGCTTGGCAAAGGCGGGTGGCACATCATAGGTCTCCTCCCGTGCTGGGCCATCTGGCACGTCCTTGCTCACTGAGGGGGGGACATCGTACACCTGCAAGGGCAGAACAGTGGCACTGTCAGCATTGCTGGGAGAGGTGGCCTGGGGCAGGTGTGGAGGCACAGGCTGGCTGCCCTGAGCTGCAGGGCACACAAGTGCCAGCACTGAGCATCCAAGACAGCACTGGGATGAAGCCATGCACCCCAGGGGTGCCCCTGTCCTTTGGCACAGGAATCAAAAAATCCTAGAGCAGCCCAGGTTGGAAGGGACTTTGAAAGATCATCTGGTCCAACCTCATTCCCTGGATGTGAACATCCAACAACCCATTCCTTGGCATTCTGAAAGCCTCCAGTGCCAGGGACATCACCATAGCTATGGGGAGACTGATTTAGTAAATTATTTTTCTCCCTGTAAAAATCTGTCATTCTTACACAAAGAAGCTGGGAGCTTCCCAGCAGCACTTACAGTTTGGTGCAAGTTCTTCTCCACGCTGGGGGGCACATCGTAGATCTCTTGCCCCGGGTCCTGTCCATTGGGACCCTTCACTGCCATGGGAGGAGTGTCATAGACCTGGAGGGGGGAACACAGGACGATGTGTCAGAGATGGTGTGGCCACCCACCTCTTCTTAGGGACCAGCTGGGAATGGTGGAGGTGGTCAGAAGTGGCACTAAGGTCCATAAAATATAGTTTTGGGTGCAATTTAGCCTGGTATGGATCTCAGGCTGTAACAGATCATCTCCCATTTTTAAGGGCAGAGCCAGAGACTCCCCCCTGACACCCCAAGCAGCCTCACCTCCTGGCTGAACTGGCTCGGGACCCCTCCTCGGACAGGTGGCACGTCATAGATCTCCTGGGAACCTGTGGAGATTAGGTGGCGCGGGAAATCGTACTCAACCTGCTCACCCTTGGGGGAGTCATAGACATACACCTGGCCCACTCGGGTGGGCACCAGCACCTGGAAAGAGGGAAAAGACATGATGTGGGCACTACCGAGCATCTCCCACCCTGCATCATTTCCCCAAAACCCAGCAACGGGACCACAGAGAGGACGGTTGCTGGATTCCGTACTGGATTGCCTGGAATTAGGGTCTGCCCGGTGCCACGGGAGGGCGCTCCCCGGCCGGGCGTGCGGCGATGCCGGGGACGGGATGATATCACCGGTTATTTATAGCGGCGATAGAGTCTCAGCGAGAGACAAAGCCCGGCCGGCACAGCCGTGGCATGCAGAAAGCAACGGCCGATCCAGGCATGGGCCGGGGTCTGCCAACGCCTGGAGTTCCCTCCCTACCCACAGCTCCGTGCCTGAATGGGTCATTTCATGGTGACACCAGCGCAGAAAACAACCAAACCCAGAGGGTAATGGCACCCTGCCCAACCACTGCCAAGCAGGGCTGAGGCGCTGGGCTGGTTCTTCCTTTTCGGATGTTCCTTGTGCCCTGGCTGTGATTTGGCAGCTCCCTCCCCTCACTGGCTGCTTCCCAGGGGTATGAGTTGGAGTAGCCTTCCCGGAAACCACGATACTGAAAGCACCTCACTCCTCTTCCCTGGGATGACGTGCCAGGGTTAGGGGCAGAGCCAGAAGGAGGCTGGTGTCCAGGATGGAGCCGTTAGGTTCCATGCTGGGGACAGCCTGGTGGCTCACCTTTGCCTCACCAGTGTACCTAGCAAGTACTGGCAGGCTGCCTGGCACAGTCGGGAAATGCTGGCACTGCCCGTCTGTTCCTGTGCACGCTCCCAGGAGGAATAAAATCTCACAGCATTGTGCTGGGTACCACAGCTACTTCCACAGCTCCAGAACCTGGCATCCCAAAAGAGCTCTTGGCTTACAA